CTATCATGGTCCCAATTCTACCTTACTAATCTGGCTAGACCAGAGGATGTACACTGGTACAGATAGGAACTGGAAACACAGGGAATCCAGGACGGATGATCCCTTCAGGACCAGTGGTGAGAGTGGAGTTACTGTGAGAGTGGAGGGAAGGTGAAGTGGAAAGGGGAAACCAAACACAAGGATCTACATATAACCCCCTCCCTGAGGGACGGACAACAGAAAAGTGGGTGAACGGAGATGTCAGATAGTGTAAGACATGACAAAATAATAATAATTCCTTAATTATCAAGGATTCATGAGGGAGGGGGAGCACGGAGGGAGGGGAAAAAATGAGGAGCCGATACCAAGGGCTCAAATAGAAAGCAAATGTTTTGAGAATGATGATGGCAACAAATGTACAATTGTGCTCGACATTTGTTGTTGTACGAACATAAGAGTTGTATGAACCCCCAATAAAATGATTTTTTACAAATAAAATGAAAATAAAAGCTTGTTTTCACGTGGGCGGGCACGGAAGCATCTAAGAGCAGTGAACTGAACTGGCAGGGTGATTTCTTTCTCCTGGGAGATGGTTAATGAAATTTCTCTATGCAAAAACCCCATTCTGTGCCTCGCAAGTAAATCTTTACTTTGGGAAGGCATGAACCTGAAGCTCCAGTAACATTTCTGGCTAGCAGTCAGGAAAAGAAAGGACATGCAGAGTTTCTGCAGTACCATTCTTCACCACTGCAGATATGACGGGAATCTGACCCAAGGAAGGAGATGTGAGCCCATCAAGAAACACCCCAATCTCTGCTCTCAGAGGTGAGCGAGCCCGCTTAGAAGGTTTTAATCCCCCTCTTTTCTCTCTCGCTCTTAGTTTGGGAATCTCTCTAAACTTTCCCTTATCTGACCTCTATCAGATCTGGTTAGAATGAGCCTACTTTGGGATGTGTGTTGCTTTATTTTTTAACATTTTATTATAGATTGGATGAAAATTTAATGAACAAATTAGTTTTTCACTCAACAGCTCTTACACTTTTTATTTCATGTCATTGACGGCAATCTCCACAATGTAACACCACTTAACCCAATTCTTCCATGTGTTTCCAGTTCTCACTTCTCTTTCTGTCCTACCCATTCCTGCCTTCTGCTCTTTTTCCTTAGGCAAATGCTACCCTTTTGATCTCAAGTGGTTGACTTTGCTAAGGAATGCTATCTTCTTGGTTTCATTTCTCACATTGTAGACCTTTCTATTGTTTCTGTGAAAGTTGAACTGGAGGTGGGGGGCCTAAAGGAGTTCATCTCCTAGCATGAAGTTTGACTAAGGGCATGAGGGTTCTGCTGGTCATTGTCCCACCAGTAAGCTTGGTCTTTTTCTATGATTTTGAGTTTTGTTCTACATTTTTCTCCCATTCAATCCTTTTTAGGTCGATCAGACACCAACTAATTCTGCTGGTCTCAGGGCGGTGGAGATTGAGGGTTTATGTAGTCCTTTTGAACAAATTGTGTCTTTCATTTTCTACACTCCCCTTTGCTCCAGATGGCGAGAGACCAACAGTAGCACCTTAGGATGGAAGCCTCCAAGTTTTTAAGACCCAGTTACTACTAACAAAAGTAGAATATGGAACATTATCATTATAAACTGTTATGCCAATTGATGACTATGGCCCTGTGGTAGTTACATAATCTGGTGTCAATTTGAGAGGATTATGAGTGAAGGGGTGGAGTCTGGCCTGTCAATCAAGATATAACCAATGAGGCCTCTGTGGGCATAGCCTTCTCCTGAGAATTCTGGGAACTCCTGTATTTCCTCCTTGGAAGCGGGAGACACTTTTCTCTCTCTGGTCATTCCCTGAGAGACGCTCTACTGACAAGACACATTGAACTACGCCCTAGGAGCTAGAGAAGTCACATGGAGACCCCTGCCAGCATTGAGATGCTTACAACACCACTGGATCCACAATACTTCCACCCCATTGTCCTGTGATCCTCCTTCATTTGGCATCATTGCATGTATTTCATGAGTCTGAAGAGGCTTTATAGATTGGTATCAGACATGTGAGCTAATATTTGATTTATGGATTTGATCTGGCTGGGCTGGGACGTTTTCTCAATTGTTCTTGTGTATAAACCTCTTTTATATATATATAAACCTCTTTTATTATATATATATAATTCATATATATGAATTTGTTTCTCTAGTCTACCCAGTCTAACACAGGCCCTGAACCTCCAAGCCTCCAGGTGTTTGGTTATGGCTAAGAAGGTTACATATGCCTGCTGTTTTCTCTACTATAAACATGAATGTTTATAGCACATACTGTCACCTGAAATGCAGGTATTTACCCTGGAGTGGTGAAG